ATATATATATATATATTCGTATATATATATTCATATAGACATTCATATATATATAGATATTCATATATATATATTCATATCGATATTCATATATATATATTCATATAGATATTCATATATATATATAAATATATTCATATACATAAATATATATATATTCATATATATATATTTATATGAATATATATAAGTTGGCGTTTTTTTGTATTAAAAACACTTGTCTTTCTTTGGTGGGATGAATTATGCTAATTTTTTGGGACAGGCATTTTGGGTTTTCATGAGCTGTGTGCCATAATCTTCAGTATTTAAATAATTAAAGACCTGAAATATTTCAGCTGGTGTGCAATGAATCTGAAATATATGAAAGTTTCATTTTTATCATTACATTATGGAAAATAATGACCTTTATCACAATATACTAATTTTTTGAGAAGGACCTGTACACGTGACACACAACTTTAAGTAGAATAGAGAAATAAGTTCTGCTGTTGATCATGTACATATTGTTTTCATCTGTATAAATTAAACTGAAAAATAAATTAAAAATATAAAAATTGAATGGTTGAGTACCTGCGAGCGGCGGTGATTATGAGATAACCCAAATCCACTTCCAAAGCATTCTTGCAAGCTCCAAACACGATGGTGTGGAGGTTCCTGAATCCTCCTGTGCACATGCAGCCTTTAGGGTTACATTCTGTTGCTGATTTATCAGACAACTCCAGAAAATGCACATGACTCCAGCAAGTCCTCACCTGACCTCCAGCTGTCCTCCACCACATGCTGGATCAGCCCTCCGAGGAAAGGAACCCTTACCAGCTCCAGCTGCTCTAAATTCCGGGCCGCTGCCAAGCCCGTAACCAGCGGGACGTATTTGAGGGAGTTAGCAGGCCCAGCACAGTTCCTCATGACAAAAGTTCTCAGGTTCACACACAAGAAGTCCTTAAATGGCTGAGGTTTAGTGAGACGGACCCACTTCAGGTAGAGGTGCCGGAGCATTGACACACAGGGGATCTCTGGGACGTTCACACCTACAGCAGACAACATGGAGGATGGAGCACTTCAGACAAAAGCTGGAAGAGCAAGAATGTGCTGAACTTATTCCACGAGACTTCAGCTCTGACATGGAACTGCTTCAGCCCACTCAAACTCACCAATGAGATGCAGGGTCTGGATCTTGGCCGTTATGGGGATGGTGAGCTTGTTCTCAGCAGGAATGGGAAAAGCGCCGTTACGGTTGCGAAATTTCCCCAGAATGTGAACCTGAGGCATGTAGTTCCAAATGGCTTCCACAAGCTCCAGATGGGACGTGTCTACACCCTGAAATTAGAAACTCAAGTTCATTAAAAAATAAACAAACATTAGCCAACGTGTTTTAATTTTTACGGGAACATTTTATTTGTTTAATCTGTCAAGAAACTCCACGGAAACCCTTGCACAATTTTCAAGCACTATCTCTGAGATTGATCAAACAGTGGAAAAGAAAAAGAAACAGGCTAACTAAAGATTCACTACAAATATTTCAGAAAAACATTTTAACAATATTTATGCCAATTGCAGACAAATTGTTTAGAACCAGAGTTCTGCATTCAATCCATTATACGCCTGTCCAAACTATTATACAGCGATGTATAGCAATGGTCCAGACAAGCAAAGACCTTGTTTAACCTTTGACCTTGATTTGTGACAGAAGGTACGTTGCGTTGTTTTTCAATTCAATTCAAATATACTTTATTAATCCCAGAGGGAAATTATTTGTTGTAGTAACTCGTTATCCTCATTTCATTAAGAGATGTTAAAGATACTGATGGCTGTAGACAGGAAGGATCTCTTGTAAAGGTCCATCCCACAGTGGATCCTAATAAACTGGCTGCAGATGCCATCTGATCCGTCCACCCAGACTCGGCTGGCCTCTCGGTTCCCCCGGGCTGTAGGACCACCCGAATGCCAGGCAGAACTCCTCCCAAAGCGATAGCCACTCCTCCCAGCAGTCTGCCGAGCTCCTCGTCACTGCGGACAGCCAACTGTAGGTCCCGAGGGATGATCCTGTCCTTCCACTGTCATGAGCCGTGTTTCTTGCTAGTTCCAGGATCTCAGTGGTCAGACATTTGAGCACAACTGGCAGGTAGATGAGAATGCGTCCACAGAACATCCTTTTCAACTCATTTGAGATTTGGGGCTGTAGTTGAGATATTATTTGAGCTTTTGACTTGTTAATCAGCTGCTGTTGGTTGTAGAAAACTGCCTTATTGCCATGGTTACGCATGATAACAAATGTCCAAAAATAAAAAAGTTTCAGTAAAAATCCTTCCAGCTGCACAGCATCTGAAACCACCATCCCAAAAACACGACCCACATCCAGAAAAAGAGGAATCACAGTTTCCAAAAGCAAAATCTCAGAATGAAAGTAACAGAGCTGCTCCAACATGCAGCCACCTTGAGCGGCACAATTTATATATATATTTTTTTTTTTTGTTTATGATGTAAACTACAAATAAAGTTGAGCAAATGAACAAAAACGTATATATATTTTTTTTACATAAAGTCAGGACTTATGTATGGAATCCTGAGGGAAAATATTTGTTCTCCTGCTATTTGTACAGCATTTTGGTTGGCCTTGTTGCTGTTTTAAGTGCTCTATAAATAAACTGGTATGGTATGGTTTTTGGAAGGTTTGCGCACTTTACTTAAAAAACATAACCTTGCTTCAGAAATACTGGCCAACTACAGACCTACGTCTAATCTAACTTTCATCTAAACAATTCTAGGGAAAATAGTTGCAGGTCAATTGTGTGAACATCTACAAAGAAATAATCTAAAGAGTTTCAGTCAGGGTTTAGAGTTCATAGCACAGAATCTTCACTGGTGAAAGTTACTGATGATATTCTCATAGCCTTTGACAATAGACATGTGTCTATACTGGTCCTGTTAGACCTCAGTGCTGCATTTGATACAGTTGATCACAATATTCTATTACAGAGACTTGAATATGATGTTGGAATTACAGGAACGGTTCTAAATTGGTTTAAATCATATCGATCTGATAGATTCCAAATTGTAAATGTAAATAATGAATCTTCATCATACACCAAGGTTAGTCATGGAGTTCATCAAGGTTCAGGGCTTCGACAAATACTCTTGACCTTTTATTTGCTTCCAATAGGTAAAGTTATTAAACAGCATGGGATACATTTTCATTGTTATGCTGATGACACACAATTATATTTGTCCATGAAACCCAATGAATCCAATCAGTTACATAGACTACAAGCATGTCTTAAAGACATAAAAACCTGAATGACACTTAATTTTCTGCTTTTGAATACAGACAAGAGTGATGTTTTAGTTTTTGGACCTGAGAATTTTAGAAATAAATTTTTCAGTCTTTCGCCCTCCTTGGATGGCATTAATCTGTCCTCCAGCTCTAATGTTAAAAATGTTGGTGTTATTTTAGATCAGGACGTCTTTTATCCACCACATAAAAATGTTACTAGAACTGCCTTCGTCCACCTGCATAATATCACTAAAATTAGAAACATCTCATCTAAAATATCCTGATGCATGCTCAATAATCCAGGTAGAAAAATCTAAAAAAGTTAACTCTTTCAGGGATGAAGATGTTCACATCCTGGACAGAGAGGAACGATGGTTTGAGAGAGGAGTAAAGGAGGCCATCTTTGTGAAAAGAAACCGTCCATCGTTAAACAGGGGCGGAGGCCTCCGGGTTCAACTGTCCCCCTCTTACAATGCTGGGATTGCTAGTATCACTCAGCCCTCTGTGAACAGTAAACAGCCATCAGTGTGCTAATGATCCATTGTTAGGCTGATGGTCCTTCTTGAGCATGTGATCAGCTGGTTTTGGTTGTCAGCAGCAAAACTGGTTGATCCACCCTGAGTCGGTGCTATTTAAGAGACTGAGCTGAATACAGCTCCTCAGACTGAGGAAGTCTCTCGGATGAGAGACGAAACGTTTCTACATTTTTTTGTTGATTTGCTTATTTTTTTTTTTTTTTTGAATGTCCAGAGGACCAGATTTAACTTTTTTAGATCTCATCTAAAAATGATGCAGAAAAACGGGTTCATGCATTTGTCACGTCTAGACTGGACTATTGCAATGGTTTATTATCTGGGTGTCCAAATACTTCTTGAAAACGTCTTCAGTTAATCCAAAATGCTGCTACCAGAGTCTTAACTGGAGTTAATAGGAGAGATTATATCTCTCCAGTTTTAGCTTCTCTCCATTGGTTCCATGTCAAATCCAGAATTTAATTCAAAATCTTACTTCTAACCTACAAAGCTCTCAACAACCTAGCTCCATCTTATATTCGAGATCTTATGGTTCCATATTTACCTAAAAGAGCACTTTGCTCTCAGACTGCAGGCTTACTCATAGTTCCTAGAGTTTCCAAAAGCAGAATGGGAGGAAGATCTTTCAGTTATCAGGCTCCTCTATTGTGGAACCAACTTCCAGTTTCTGTCCGTGAGGCTGACATATTGTCCAGTTTTAAGACTGGGCTTATTTTCCTTTTTGATAAATCCTATAATCAGGGGTGACTTGTCATGCTATCTTAAGCTTAGACTACTTGAGGACAAATTGACCCCATTTCCTTAAATGATTTGCTAAAACTGATGTAGTATGTCGGGACAACTTCGCTGTGGACATCCTATTAATTAATTATTCTTAAGGCTAGTTCAAGCACAAAGAATATTAATTGTTTAATTAACAACAAATTCTTACTTTTTCAAGTTAAATTTCTGCCATGTGACCAAGATAACTTGTGAGTGGAGTGTATAATTAGTGACATGAGACGTCATTTATCTTTGACCCATAAGAATAAATGCGGTAATTTATTTAACAGAATCAAAATTTAACATCAAACATGTACACTTGATTGGCTGATCTGTTTCTGATTAATAAACTTAGCAAGTTCAAATAACAAGACAACAGAGGATTACTGATGGAGAATAATTCATCTCTGAAGGCATTTAGCTTGATTTAATGGCGAAGGGGTTTAAAGAGGAAATTTAGAAGTTTAAAGAGTAGGATTTAGATTGATGAAGGAAAATGTGTTGACCAGGAATGGCACCCTTCATCCGACCCCAGCTCAGCCCCGGTACACTCGGTGCGTGACGACTCGTTACCTTTGCAGAAGATAAATCAGCTCCGGTACTGAGGTCCATTTCACGCTCCCTTTCAGCGTCTCCGGTCAGAGTGGCTGGGAATCGTCCGAAGTAGTGACGAAATACTCCATTCAACAAAATAAGCTTCCTTAGAAGTTGAGAACATTTAATGCTCGGGGTGAGATCACAGCGAGGCGTGCTGTGACTCCGCTGAAATGGATGGACCCTTGGCTCATGGTCAAATTCCATCAGCTCTTATTGTAGAGACTGTAAGACCTTAGCCTCCATTAAGACTGAAAGTTCCAGTCAGAACTCCAGTAAGAACTTCCAGTAAGACTTCTGTAAAACCTTCCAGTAAGACTGAATAGTTCTAAGTAGTGTTGACTTTTAAAGGGTATCCACTTCCTGTTACTTGGTACTTCTTGATTGGTTAACAAAACCAGCAGGGGTGGAGTTTTAGTGATGTCAGAGGGTTATTAGAAGTCGCAGACAGCAGAAATGTTTTTAAGAATGGTTAGTACAGACAGGAGAATATTTTGAAGAAGTGACAGACTTGCAGGCGCGCCAGTTTCTTATTTACTGTCTGGGAGTTTTAAAACAAGGCACTTCGTTCTCAAAACTTGTTCTCTGACTTTTGACCGACATCAAATCCACTCCTCATTCAGACAGAAGAGTAAAATGCACAATTACTTTGCAAATAGACAATTAACTTGTATGATTTAAGTCTAATGAGGTTTAAAAATCATTAATACTGTTTCACAGTTGATTTAAATGAGTGGTTTACTTCAACATTAGAAATGGTATGATTAAACACACTTTTGATTATCAAGATATTGTAAAATAGTAATGATAATATAAAAAAAGAAGAGTGTTCTTTCAATTGATTAATTCAGGATACAATTAAATAGTCTCTTGAAGAGATAATTTGTGCTCTGGATTCAAATCAATGAAATAACAGTTCCTGTCCCCTGAAGGTCTTCAGAGACAGATTGATGTAGGAGGTCTAGTTCACTACACTGAATACAGTAGTCCCTCGCTATGACGCAGTTCATTTATCGCGGACTTGCTCTATCGCGGTTTTTCAAACTATGATTGGACATGATACATAATTGGCTAATTGATGAATGAGCCACACAGTTGGCATGGAATTTTTATTTAAAATTATCTAGCAACTGCTGCACCTTTGTGCAGACTAGGGC